ATCACTAGTTACCCTAATCGTGCATAGTTTATTATCGTCCTGGTATACATAATTTATTATTTCTGGAATTTCTCTAGTATCTTCCTTAGTAAAAACTGAAAAGAAGTAGGTATTGAAAAGTTCACACATTTCTTGATCTCTGTCAGTGATCTGACCTGACTATTCCAGCCCTCCAAAAACCACCCCAGTTCTTTTGTTACTGTTTTTTAAATAAGAAAAATGTATTTATAAATAAGAAATATTGTATACTCCACCCACCACCTTCACTACTCCACCCACCACCTTCAACTAACCCACCCACCACCATCACTACTACACCACCACTATCAAGTATTCCCACCCACCACCTCACTACTCTGCCCACCATGATCACTACTCCACCCACCATGATCACTACTCCACCCACCACTATCACTACTCCACCCACCACCATCACTACTCCACCGACCTTAATGTTTTTGTAAAAACTCTGAGAGTTGAAATGGAGGTTACCCCTTCCCCGGATTTATACGAGAATCAAACAAGGGACAGGTGCCTCACTACAATTTGGATTAGTGTGGGAGTATTATCCTTCCAGTTTGTCTTGGAAATGAGATGAGAGCATCTGGGTGGGGGTGAAGTACCTGACATTCCTCTGGGTACAGAGTTGGATTTGACTTTGAGTTGGATTTTTGCTTTGAGTTGGAAGCCAAAATCCGAGTTACGAGCGAGCTTTAGATACGCCAACATAATTGGCGGTGTATCTGGAAGTTCGCCATATGACTTGGATTTTGGCTTGCAACTCAAAAGCAAAAAATCAACTGACGACAGCTCGTTGTCTCGAAAATACTCGTAAGGTTGGGGCACTCGTAGTCAAGGGTACCATGTATTCAGAGTGCTGGGCGAGGAGAACATAGATCTACGTTTTTGGACAGGTTAAGGGTTAATAGGACCACTCAGAATTAAAAAAAAAATTTTTCATGCATAAATGTGAGTGCCAGGGTTAATATACCATGTCATAAAACTGTTTGAAAGACCGTGGCGTGCTCCATCCCCGCCGCTCACTATGTATATTGGTATAGAATTTTCCTCAGCTCACCACACTGAGGGACAGGGGTTCTGCCCCCTGATGAGTAGAAAATGTTGGGATGTTTTCTTACACCCAGTTGTCCCAAGTTCATCTTGCAGTAAGTAGGTACTGTACCTATAGTGATAGCTGTCTGGGAAGGGTCACATCCTGGGGAAGAGGATTGAAGTACCCCACTGGAAATAAGCCAGTCATTCTGATGACTGGCTTTATTGGGTTATCCTGGGTTATTGAGCCTTCAGGTTAATAATCCAAACAAATTCTTCTTCGGAGAGCTTAAAGCCATTTAAACATCCCCTTTCTAATTTTCTTAGCACTAGCCAAAGCAAAGGTTAATAAACTAGTTGGTCAGTCTTGAAATTTGTGATATTAAAAACTGAGAAAGGACAAAATTATTATTTATCATATATAACATCTCAATAAAATGTTGGATTTCAGTGGTGCCATTACTTCTTCAATGTAAGAAAAAAAGAAAATCTTCATTGTGCAAATACAATGCCCCTTATATGCAAACTCATGACCATCTTAAGAACCTCTTTGCTTTTTTCACCTCAGGGCATGATTAATTTAACCTTTGACTGTCGCGGCCGTATATATACGTCTTACGAGGGTACCGTGTTTTGACGTATATATACTCATAAATTTGCGGGCTTCAAATAGCGGAGGAAAGCTGGTAGGCCCACATGTGAGAGAATGGGTCTGTCTTGTGGTCAGTTGTGCCACCATATAAAAAAAATCTGGAGCACGCACTGCTTTAATGAGAAAAAAAAAAAACTCGACCGTTTTTTTAATTAAAATGCCGACTTTGTGGTCTATTTTCGTTAGTATTTATAGTTGTATATCTCGTTTTCTTGGTCTCATTTGATAGAACGAAAACATTTAATAGAAATAGATGTGATTTTTGATTGAATTTACTATAAAAAGAACCTAGGAAATGGAGCTTCAAATAAGGGGAAATGTTGATTTTTGCCAATGTTCAAAAGGTAATCAAATGTTGCTGTTGTCCAATAAATGTCCAACTTAGCCCATTCTAATATGCTGTCATGAATGGGTTGCATGTTATTTTATACAATTATTTCAGTATTGCAGTAGTCTGCATAAATAGTAAGCTTTTCTTTTTTGTTTGAATAAAAATTCAAAATAGAAAGCAAGTATTAATATCAGAGGGGCCTGGAGACATGACTGATGAGCAAATGAAAATGTTGATTTTAGAGCCAGGAATGTCTGCATAGTTCATTCTGGACCTTATTTTGAAATTGTCATATTTTTTAGTTTTCGTGAATGACAAATTGCAAAATTTCTGACCAATATTAGTAGTTGAAATCGGTAAATGGGCAGTTTTTGTACTCAATCGATAGGAAAAAATGGAGTTCTAAAGAAATAGCTATAAGTTTGGGCGACTGGGAACAAGGGAATAGCCGAAAATAGGGCTCAAAGTGGGCGAAATCGCCGATTTGTAAACAGCGCTGAGGTCGCTAACTTCGCGAGGCATAATTCGTCAGTTTTCCCATCAAATTTTCGTTTTTTGGTGTCATACCCCCCCCCCCCCCCTCCTCGGGAAAAGATTCTCTATCATTTTTCATAACGAAAAAATAATTTTTTTTTTTTAAATTTTGCGCACCAGGAGGGACCCTCAGGATTGGGGGTTGCGACAGTCAAAGGGTTAATACCCCTATAACAATCTATTAGGCAATACAAAATATCACAAGACCTTAACACAAGACACAAGCTTCAATACTAATAATATTAATCTTCAAACGTGCCTGTAAAAATCTCACAGTACAGTGGACCCTCGACCAACGATATTAATCCGTTCTTGAGAGCTCATTGTTAGTCGAAATTATTGTTAGTCGAGTTAATTTTCCCCATAAGAAATAATGGAAATCAAATTAATCCGTTCCTGACACCCCAAAGTATTGAAAAAAAAATTTTACCACATGAAATATTAATTTTAATACACACAAACTGAAGAAGACATGTACAATTACTTGGACACTTACCTTTATTGAAGATCTGGTGATGATGATGGGATGGGAAGGAGGGGGGAGGAGAGTGTGGATGGTGTTAGTGTTATTTAGAAGGGGAATCCCCTTCCATTGAGAGGACTTGGAGGTGTAAAGTCCTTTTCCGGGGGTTACTTCCCTTCACTTATTATAATGGCCACAAGGACGAGCTTGGAGTCCACTGGACTCTTGTTGCACAACATACTTGTCCATAGAGCTCCTGTACTCCTGTTCCTTTACGATTTGTCTAAAATGGGCCAAACATTGTCATTGTTAATAGTCCCAGACGGGCTTACAATAGCTGTGTTTAGGGTGATTTTCATCCATAAAGCTTTTGCAGTTCCAACCCACTTTGCACACATTACTCCTTAATCTTTGAAGTAGGGCACAAATGGATTTCACAACTGGCATAGGCATCTCAGGGTTTAGCCCAAAACCTCCTTCAAAATCTTTACTAATTTCCATACTAATTCTCACCTTTCTTATCTAAGGGCCTGGTACTAGAATGCTTTCTTGGGGCCCAATGGTGACTTATTTTGCAGTGCAATCACTACAAAATGCTCTGGGATAATAGAATTGTTCGTTGTAAGTTTGGATGCGGGACGCAGTTGGCTGGCTTGTAAACACTGCACAGGCCACACGTGGATGCGTCTCGAACGGAATGAATCGCGTTGGTCGAGTTTTTTAGCGCTAGTCGAGGCAAAATTTTTGCTTTAAAATGTATCGCTAGTCAGATTTAACGTTATACGATGCCATCGTTGGTCGAGGGTCCACTGTACAAAGATAGATGCAGTTAAACATGTCCCAGCATTTAAAAATATTTTATACGATTTCTCAAAGTGCACAACAAAACAGTGTTAATGTCTCTAAGAAACAGTTATTATGTATACTATATATGGCACTGTTAATCTAATGCAGTTCTAAGTTCATGTTTAAATTAAATGCAATACTCTGTAAACCTTTAAACTCTGAGAGGCTTAACCACAGCTGATTGCCCTGCAAGTGCATCCTTAAGCATACAAAATGTGCTGGTATAACTGCTTTACCTAGAAGTGCTATATTTATAATCAGAGAGTAATAGACACTGCTTGACTTAGATATAAAATAATATTAATAAATACTGCCCATAGTAGGTATGAACCTGCAAGCTAGTAAACCACATAGGAAACACGAAATGTAAAATTTGGCTTTTCACAAACACTTAGAATCACTCAGCATGAAATACAGAAGGTCATGTATCCCACTCCTTTTTGAAGTCAGCACACACTGAGGTTCTCTGTGAGTTCGAGTAGACCAGTATAGTAATTGATCTATCTTCCTTAACACACACTAATTTGTCACAATGTGGGTTAGCAACACTAGGCATCATAGCCTATTAATTGTGCACCAGATCTACATCCAGTTTCACAGCACCACAAAAATAAAATGTGGAAACTTGTGAGGGAGTTTCTTTGAAATGACTTTGGCCCAGCCTTTCCTCCCCAGTTTTAAGATGGCCCAGCCTTTCCTCCCCAGTTTTAAGATAAAATAGGGTGGCTGTTGCCACTCATTTCCTCTCAGCCCCATAGTTCAGGGCTCAAAACAATGTTTAATCTCTTCTAATTAATATTGCTCTCAGAGGCAACAATCTGATATAGTATTTATTCTCCAGTAATTTTTGTTATTCTTTTAAATCCCCCGATGAAATATTAGAAAATTTGTACTTCATTAAATTCATACCCCCCTCCTTGCTTGATTCCAATGTTTACATGTACAGTAATTGAAATACATAATTTACAGTGCTAAATAGTACTGGTATACTTGATACTAAAGTCTTGGTGGAGATTAGAGGTTATGTGACTTTTCCCACAAATCAGAATAACATGCAGTATTTTAGTTAATCCAGTAGTACTTTTTTACAGAGATATTCGAGCAGTTGGAATGACTCCATAACTAGAGTACTTGAAATGAATACATTTGTAAGCCATACCTATACTAAACATGTTGAAATCATCTCACTTATACATACAGTATAGTATTTTGAAATATGGATGTCTTGTCATTCTTATGCTTGCTTGCTTGAAACTGATTGTTGTGGTGCCACATCAGGCATATTTGGAAGGGTAGCCAAATTTGATAATGGTGGTGTCACTAAGTTTCCATGCAAGTCAGATGATGGCACATCTTCTGTGTTTTCATGTAGCATGGAGAGAGGAACTTGGGGAGCTGCTCTTGAAGACTCCTTACTTCTTATGGCTGTGTTTCCTAAGATTGGGTTGTCTTGGAGATGTATTCTCATGTTTGCACCTTCCATGGCAGCTGTTGCATTGGTACAACCTCTGGTACCAGCTGTTGCTGCAGATACATCACAAACTTGTACTAAAACCTGTTAGTAAAAGTAATGACATTAAACCAGTGTTTTTAATAGAGTAATTGGTAAAATATGGACTTTCTTTTTATATACGGTAGTAAAAATGTAAATTCCTAATCATTCTATCATTAACTTGCTTCTTATTATAGGTAAATGAAAATTGAAGTTCATCGGTATACACTTGTAATACAGTATTTTGTTTGTATTATACATTACCTGTTGTATAAACATTTATGCAGATATCTTAAAGCCCATATTTATCTTTCAGCTTACCTGTGTGTGGTTAAACATGTAGAATATTCCTCGTAGTAGGCTGTGAATGTGAGCAAGGAGAAACAGTGTTGCAGGCAGTATAGAGGGCAGGTCATTAATTACATCCCATGCATAGAGCAGACGTTCTGTCAGGAAGGGCATCCAGCAACTGAAGTATACTATGAGGATCACCACCTCCTGCAACAAATGCATCAACTGTGCCCATTAGGAATTTTAATAATGTTTGAGTTTTGTGCTTCTTTCTGATTATAATAATGATAATGTTTGAGAGGATTCAGAATTTACATAAAAATTGTTGGTAATACAGCAGTCCCTTGAGTTGTGATATTAATCTGTTCCAGAAGATGTAACATATCTCAAACCCCAAAATTCATGGCTTTATGGTAATTCATTCCAAGACACCTAAAGTGGAACTTTTACTGTACTTGAATTTAAAGAGTTTGTGGTATTAGGAAGGATAGAAGGCCAGAGCTGGCAGTGCAGAGCAGGCAGGCCACAGCAGACAGGGCAGGTAAAGCAAGGAAGAGCTGGCAGGGCAAACATAACCAACATTAAAGGTAATAAAGTACATCGTATGTTATTATAGTACTTCACATGTGGAAGATTCATTCTTACTGTACATTTTAGTGACCTCAGCATATGATTTTTTTCTTGTTGTATTAGGTCGAGATTTAACACTTTTTCAATGATGGGAAGCATTTCATGGCTTCTCTTTGGGTTGAAGAACTGCCACCATCACTACTTTTGTGCTTTGGGGCCATTATCAAGCAAAATTAAGACTTAGTATTTTCAGAACACTGTAAACCGTAGATAACTGAAACCACAGAAACCAAATTCATGTATATGGAGGTTGTATGTACACAGGCACAAAGTTAGAGGTCAGGAAACACTTTATGCAACTCCATTTTTGCCCACTTTGAGGCCTATTTTAGTCCAGCTCCAATGCTCAGATCAACCCAGTTATGTTTCTGTCTCTTTTGCTAGTATTCCTTCCATTCTGTCTATTAAATGCAAGAAACTGCCCATTCAGCTATCAGAACTACCCTATCAAGTGCCTGGAAGTTGGTAATATGGCCAATTTTTCACAAAATTCAGCAAAATCCAATTTAAAAACAGAATCCTAAATAAAATAAACACTATATGTATTCCAACCACTTAAGTAGTCTTTCCTCTGTTCATTAACCCCTTGACTGTTGCAACCCCTAATCCTTAGGTGTCTCCTGGTGTCGCAAATTTTAAAAAAAAAAAAAAATTTCTTTTGAAATGATAGAGAATCTTTTCCCAATTGTAATGACACCAAAAAAACAAAAATTTGATGGAAAACTGATGGAATTACGCTCTCACGAAGTTAGCAACCGCGGCGATATTTACAAATCGGCGATTTTGCCCACTTTGAGCCCTATTTTCGGCTAATTCCATTGTTCCAGTCGACCAAACTCATAGCTATTTCTTTAGAACTTCGTTTTTTCTATCAATTGAGTACAAGAAACTGCCCACTTACCGATTTCAGCTACCCAATAATGTGGTCAGAAATTTGCAATTTGGCCAATTTCATGAAAATTAAAAAATATGGCAATTTCAAAATAAAGTCCAGAATGAACAATGCAGACATTCCTGGCTCTAAATAACATTTTCTTTGTTCATCAGTCATGTCTCCAGGCCCCTCTGATATTACTCTTGCTTTCTATTTTGAATTTTTATTCAAACAAAAAATAGAAGATTTACTGTTATGCAGACTACTGCAATACTGTAATAATTGTACAGATAATGTCAACCCAATTATGACTGCATATTAGAATGGCTAGTTGGACATTTATTGGACTGACATCATTTGTTTACTTTTGAACATCGTCAGAAATCAAACATTTCCCCTACTTTGAGCTCCATTTCCAGGTTCTTTTTATAGTAAAACCAATCAAAATCACCTCTATTTCTATAATATGTTTTCCATTCTATCAAATGAGACCAAGAAAATGAGAATGCAACCATAAATACTATACGAAAATAGACCACAAAGTCGGCATTTTAATTAAAAAAGCGGTCAAAGTTTTTTTTTCTCATTATGCACTGCATGCTCCAGGATTTTTTTTATATGGTGCACACTGACCACACAGACCCATTCTCTCACATGTGGTTCTACCAGCTTTGTCCTACTTGCTTTGAAATTGCTAGAATTTATGAGTATACAGTGGACCCCCGCTTTACGATCACCTCCCAATGCGACCAATTATGTAAGTGTATTCAAGTAAGTGCGTTTGTATGTGTATGTTTGGGGGTCTGAAATGGACTAATCTAATTCACAATATTCCTTAAGGGAACAAATTCGGTCAGTACTGGCACCTGGACATACTTCTGGAATGAAAAAATATCGTAAACCGGGGGTCCACTGTATATACGTCAAACACAGTACCTCGTAAGACGTATATATGACTAAAACAGTCAAAGGGTTTAATATGTCCCCGGGCCTCTCTTTTTGACATTTTCCCTCCCCGTCATACAAAAAAATTAAGCAAAATTTTTCCCCCATTTTTGGTAATAAAATATAACCAAAAATAATTAGCATAGTTTAGCCATCCCAGTAACTGAAGTAGCCCTAAAAAAGCGATAAAACTGATGAAAGGGGTAGGGGTTTTCCCCCACCCTTACTCAGGAAAATTACCAAAAATGTAAGGCCTGTTTAAACCCATTCCAATTTGAAACGCCAGATTCATTTTCGTTTCACAATGTATTTGTTCTAAGTTGCCCAAAAAGAACCAAAAAAACCCATGAAAACTCCCTAAAAAAACCCCCTATACAAACTATTTTAACCAAAACAATTTTTCATAGGTTGCAGTTCCCATTCACTGCTAGAGCGGTTTTTTTTTTATACTGTGCACCCCCCCCCATAACCATTTTATATCTGGTTGCAGCATATTTGGGGGTCATAAATAAGACATAAATTTGGTGGCACTGCTCTAAAATGCATATATATGTGAGCATACTGAGAGAAGTAAAAGGGGTTTAAAAACATGTTCTTTTTTTTTATTTTCCCCCAAATCATCGCAATAGTACTCCCATTGTGTCTGTTGAACCAACTGTACAGTCATTCTATCTCCATACAGGGGTAAAAAAAAATAATGTACAGTAAGCCCCCTTAACAGCTAATAAGGGGAAAGGGGTGTTGTTAAAATACGATTGTCCACAATTCCCAGAATACAGTGGTACTTGAGTTCGAACTTAATTCGTTTTTCCCTAAAAGGCTGTTCGAGTGTCAATACCGAACGAATTTGTTCCCATAAGGAATAATGAATATTAGATTAATCTGTGTCAGACCCCCAAAAATACACTTACAAAAGCACTTAAAAAATACACTTACATGTTTGTTCGAGTTGGGAGCTGCTCATAACTCAAGGTACCACTGTATAATAATAATAATAATAATAATAATAATAATAATAATAATAATAATAATAATAATAATAATAATATAATAAATAATAATAAAAATCTTTATTTCTACAATTACATGATACAAATTATACAGACCTAATTGACATCAATGATGTACTATACAGAGAGCTCCTGGTTATACCTGGAGGGTGTTCCGCGGGTCATCACCCCCACAGCCCAGTGCATGACCAGAGCATTTTGGGCAACTTAGGTTAATTTTATCCCCAGGATGTGACTCTCACTAGTTGGCTAACACCCAGGTACCTACTTACAGCTAGGTGAATAGAGACAGCAGGTGTCTTAAGGAAATAAGGCCCCACTCTTTCCACCCGTACCAGGGAATGAACCATGGAGTTCAGTCCCAACTGAGTGCACTACCAATTGAGCTGTGTATTTCATGATCGTCCAGTTGCCTTCTGAAGTAGTGGACTTGGTCCGCTGATGCAGAAGACAATCGAACACTAAGGACATGGGTATTGAAACCTGTAGTACTACAGTACAGTTGTGTACTGTATAGTAATTTTATAGTTCTCTGTGTTATTTACAGCAATTTTATTTACCTTTTCATGGTGGAGAGATAAGGTGTAAACTGAGCCAGAAGAGCTATTAAGCTCTACTAGTGAAAATAATGTAGATGGCTGAGAAAATGTAGAGGGATAAGAAGACAGATGGCTGAGAAGATGTAGATTTCTGAGAACCACACATTTTCTCTTGACACCACCACTTGCTTTAGAAGCCAATGTTAATTGCACTTTACTTAATAAAGTCACACAATCTCTAAATCCAGGGAAAACTTAGAAACTGCATGACAGTTGTATGCTTGAGTGAGCATAAACAATAAACTGGCACGGGTGGCCTATAGCACAGGGAATAATGAAAATGGATATGTCCTGGACGTGGCCACTTTGCTTGTACTGGACAAACATTGGAGTTAGCGACTTAGTCCAATACAGCCTCTCCTCACTTAATGACGGAGTTCCGTTCCTAAGACTTTGTCGGTAAACAAATTCATCGGTAAGTGAGGAGCATGCTATAATGGTAGTGGGTTTGTGTCAACCATTTTTGATATTGTTTTAATGTCACCTTTGCACCATTTATAGCATTTCTGGTACATGTATACGTGTATTTCTAAATGTTTATACAGTAGTGTACTGTATATTGTAATAAGCAGAATAGAGGAAATCAGCTCTAACATATATTATTTAGGTGTGAATACTGGTCAAAGAGCCTGTCATAAGTCCAGTCATCGGTAAACGAGTACGTTGCTAAGTGAGGAGAGACTGTACTTCAGAAAACAATCGGACACTATTTCTACGTCACAGACCGGGCCATAGGGGTGTTAACCTCCGAAACCCTCTCCAGGTATACAGAGAAAATGCAGAATTACAAACTTTTGTCCATTTTGTCCAATAATTGGAACATTTGTCTGGTCAATATTTTTGTCTAAAATTGCAAAAATCTATTAATAGGAAGTTTTACTATGCTGTATGTTTAACGCTTTCAAATTTACTGTACTATATTATAATCCTGTAGTTTAACATAAGAACATAAGAAAGGAGGAACACTGCAGGAGGCCTGTTGGCCCATACTAGGCAGGTCCTTTACAATTCACCCCACTAACAAAACATTTGCCCAACCCAATTTTCAATGCCACCCAAGAAATAAGCTCTGATGTGAAAGTCCCACTCAAATCCAACCCCTCCCACTCATGTACTTATCCAACCTAAATTTGAAACTACCCAAAGTCC